AGGCTGGCCTCGAACTCACTGAGTTCCACCTGCCTCTGCCTCTCCAGTGCTGGGATTAAAGGCATGTGTCACCACCACCCAGCTAGAGCCTGTTATGCTCAATCTTGTGCTTCATTGTTTCAGTTCTACTCTGTTGTGAGAGACAGCCTTTGAGGTTTTAAAAGTGCCTGTGTCAGCCCAGTATTATCTAACTCAGCAGTTCCTAGACAGTCTTGTTCTTCTAGCATGTGTATATGGGGTGGGTATTGTTGACTTACAAAGTAGTAGTAGTAGTGTGTCTTGTTTTCAGTCTATGGTAAACCAACACAAGCTCTGGTTTTGTTCTTTCAGTCCTGGCTTCCTCAGGTTTGTGAGGGTTTTATGTGGCATGTCCTCGGATGAAAGGAAAGCATTCCTGCAGTTTACTACTGGCTGTTCAACTCTACCACCAGGTGGACTGGCTAACCTACACCCCAGGCTCACAGTTGTCAGAAAGGTACAAACTAGCTAGTGGGGAATCCAAATGGAACATAATTCCATCAGGATGAGAAAGATGAACTCATTTCTGTGTTTCCTTTTCTTTCTATAGGTTGATGCTACTGATGCAAGCTATCCATCAGTCAATACTTGTGTCCATTATTTGAAATTGCCTGAGTACTCTTCTGAGGAGATCATGAGGGAGCGCTTGCTAGCTGCTACGATGGAGAAAGGCTTTCATCTCAATTGAGGCTTGAAATGCAGAAAGGAGCCAGCAGAGACAAGTCCGAGTGAAGCCTCTTGCTTTGTTTGCCGAGAAGTGTGTGATCCTCACACTAATGACACTTGCCTTGTTTTCCACCAGTAAGGCTTTGAGAACATGTGGAATAAGTTCCTTAGCTGCTAATGACAAAGTACATCCCTTAACTACCCAGCCAGCAGGTACCCAGCACAGGGCACTGTGCTGCTTTACAAGGGCTCACGAGACTGGAAAAGGTGGTTCTGCCTAACTGTTCCATAGAGCAGCCTCTCAGATCTTCAGTGCTCACTGGAAGTTCTAACCATGTTTGTATCAAGTTGTCATCGTTTCATATTCCATACACTACAGTTGCCATCACTGATCCCCGTTTTGCTGGCTTTTTAGCTACTTGGTCAAAAAATACTGCTTCCGTAAAACATAGAGTGTTACGCGCATCTCAAGCTTTTCCTTTTCCTTTTTAATGATGCCTGCACTACCAGAGTGTTCCAGTGTTCTCTATTTGTTCAGCACACAATCATGCACAGCCTTTTTGTTTCTCTGAGGTGGGAGTTTCTTCTTTTTCCTAACTACCATTCTATAAGGATGAAATCCTAAAGTGTGTCTGTGCAGCTCAAAAATAAAGATATATTAAGGGAGGGAGACACTGGTCTAGGTGGAAGGCACACAGCAACTTTTATGTTTGGTTGTCTTTTCTTTGTATATTATAAACATTTATTTAACTTGTTGCAGTTTGACGTAAATTTCCAAAATGTATGCTCAACAATAATCATTAAAATGTTTGCAGCATAGAAAACCGTGTCATGTCACTATTTTACTGCCCTCAACAGACCTCAGAGCTTAACTATAAGAGGAGTTCTTAATTGGTCTATAAAATAAAAACCTGGAGTAAAATATAGAGGAAAATGCTGAGAGATTGGAGAGAAGGAGCAAGCCGCAATCACCACATCTTACCTTCTTAAGTGTCTCAGCAGACAAGAGAGCAAGTTCCTGTTTTTCCCTGCGTATATCCTGTTTCCAGCTATCTCACTTCCTGTCTGTCTGTACAGACCTCTATGCTTAGCTAGTGTGGCAAGCTCCATTATCTGACCTTCAGGCAGGCTTTATTTGTACAAGCACCACACTTAACCAGATCCCTTCCTCCTACCTTCCCTTCCCACCTGCCTCTCTTCCTCTTTTTACTCCTCACAGTAGTGTAAATTATTTAAAAAAAAAAACAAAAACAAAATATAAAACAAAAGCCTGGCTGCAGTGACACACTCCTTTAATCCCAGCAGAGGCTGGTGGATCTCTGTGAATGTGAGGCCCACATAGTATACAAAGCCAATTCTAGGACAGCCAGGGCTACACAGAGAAACCCTGTGTGTGTTTCTGGGTGGGGGGTGGATGATAGACAAACCAACAGGAGGAAAAGAGCTCCAGGAGACGGCACAAGAATCAGAGACACACTAATACACACACTAAGGAGTTCCCTAAAAATACTACATTACATGCACAGAGGCCTAATGCAGACCCATGCAGGCCCTGTGCTTGCTGCTTTAGTCTCTTGTGAGTTCATAAGAGCTTTGCAACTCTAGTACACCCGTAGAATTATTTCCCCTTCCCAGGGACATCTGTGTTCTCCCAAATCCCTTCCTTTATGCCTAACCTCTCTGGATCTACAGATTGTAGCTTGGGTACCATTTATTTAATGGCCAGTGTCCACCTAGTGAATACTTACCTTATTTCTCATTTTGGGCCTGGGTTAACTCAGGATGATTTTTTTTTTTTTCTTCTTCTTCTTCTAGTTCTGTCCATTTGTCTGCAAATTTCATCTTTTTTTTTTTTAATGAACATTTTATCATGTTTTCTGTAGTCATTCCTCTGTTGAGGACATCTAGGTTGTTTCCAGTTTCTGATTATTATGAACAAAGCAGCAATAAACATAAATGTGTCTTTGTGGTAGGATGGAATCTCAAAGTAGCTTTGGTTTGCATTTCCCAGATGCTGAGGAAGTTGACCAATTCTTTGTTTCTCCGCTATTTGAGATTACTGTTTTGAGAATTCTCTGTTTAGAGCTATACTTTGTTTTTAACATTGGGTTATCGGATGCTTTGAAAAAATCTAGTTTCTTGATTTCTTTATATGGTTTGGATATTAGTCCTCTATTGGACATGAAGTTGGTATTCTTTTCCCATTTCATAGGTTGCCACTTTGTCCGAATGACATGTCCTTTGCCTTACAACAGCTTTTCCATTTCCTGAGGTCTCATTTATTAATTGTTGGTCTCGGTATCTGTGCTAACAGTGTTCTGTTTGAGAAGTCTTCTACTGTGCCAGTGAGTTTTTCTCCACTTTCTCTTCTATCAGGGTCATTATATCTGATTTTATGTTGAGGGTTTTGATCCACTTGGATGAGTTTTGTGTAGACTGATAAATATGAATCTATTGCATTCTTCTACATTCAGACATCCAGTTTGACTAACACCATATGTTGAAGATGCTGTCTTCTTTTTTCCAGGGTGTATTTCTGTGTTCTTTATAAAAAACAAAAATCAGGTTTCTATTGGTATATGGAGTTATATCTTGGTCTTAAATTTGATTGTATTGATCATTGAGTCTTTATATCAACACCATTCGGTTTTTTATTGTTATACATTTATAGTACAACTTGAAATCAGGAATGGTGAAAACTCTGGAAGTTCTTTTATTGTTCAGGATTGCTTTATTTATTAGAGATTTATTATATATACAGTGTTTTATCTACATGCAGGCCAGAAGGGGGCTCCATATCTTATAACAGGGGCTGTGAACCACCATATGATTGCTAGGAATTGAACTCGGGAACTCTGGAAGAGCAGCCAGTGCTCTTAACCTCTGAGTCATCTCTCTAGCCCTCTAGGGCATCTGACATCCTCACACGGACAACTGGTTTTCTCCTACCATGTAGGTCCTGGGAATCACAGATTACCAGGCTTGGTGACAAGTACTTCTACACACTGACACCACATTTTTAGATGGTTGAAAATAAAAGGAAAAGTAGTATTTGATTAACAGGGTTTCTCTGTGGCTATGGAGGCTGTCCTGGAACTAGTTCTTGTAGACCAGGCTGGTCTCGAACTCACAGAGGTCCTCCTACCTCTGCCTCCGTAGTGCTGGGAATAAAGGCGTGCACCACCACCACCCAGTATTGGTTAACACTCGTTTTCAAGATCTCTGACTTAGGCTAGACTCAAACTCAATGTAGCCAAGACTGATGTTGAACTTCTGACTCCCCTACCTGTCTACCCAGTGTTGGGATTATGGGTATGCAACTCTGGGCCTGCTTTATGGAGTGCTAGTGCTCAAAGCCTGGGCAAACATACTCCTGACACCCCCAGCCCTGAAATGTCGGGTTTTATCAGAAGCCCTATTCTTTCACTTAGGGACCGTGTGTGGTTGCTTTCGCAGTGTGTTGCTCCAGTGGGTTATCTGATGAGTCTTAGAAGATAGGTTTTAAGAGTATTTTCTGAGTCAAAAGTCACAGCAGGCACCTAGCTGAAGTGAGGTGGGCACAGCACGCTACTGAAGCCAAATCATTGCTCACTTTGAGTTGGGTGTTCAGACTCACCAGGGTCTCCACATACAGTTAGGCTTTCCGATGTGTTTTCCTATGGTGTCTACTAAATATTTTTTAAACTTTAGTGTTCTCTAAAGGCACTAGAATCTGTGCCAAGATATAATTTATCTACTATTTTAGTGTGACCCAAAAGTTAATTTTGTTCACTCCCTAGCTACTTCTGATGTACCAGTTTCTGAGTTCCCTCCATATGCTACTGATTATGTGCCTACCAACTAGGACAGTGTTTCCCTGCTGCTTCTTCTCAGCAAGACATCGAAGGTCTTTGATCTAGGTGGGGCTTTCCCCAGGTCCTTAATATATACATTGTGTGCTGTTCCCATGGGCCAGAAGCCTTCCCAGATGAGACCAGAACAACTGTTTTGCTTTTGAAGTCTACCATGACAAGTTTTCAGGTGCTTATAAATTAAAGATTTAAACTTAGCTGTAGCCTTTTAAGGAAGGACCACCTCCTCCCTGGGTCCTGACATGAGAGTGTCACCGTGCTGCGTGATACAAGTGTGAGAGAACTCTTGGAGCATTGCAAAGGGTCCACATCGTTCTGCTTCCTCCAATGCACCTCACCCTCCACACCCGTGTGCCCAGAAATGCTCTCGATAAACCAGTCCCGCATGTTCTGTTGTGGCAAGAGCATTTAAATGGCTTGTTTTGGTGGCAGTGTTTCTCTGTAGTGACTTGGTTGGTTTCTTAGACACTGAAGGTGGAGTTAAGACACTAAAACTGGAATGATGCTGAGATTAGCATGGGCCCTGTGTGAGGATGACACAAAAGTTGTGAAGTCTTACTTTTTTTTTTTTTTTTTTGGATTGAGACGAAGTGTTCTGTCCTTTTAACAAATAGTTAAGTGTGCTAATTTTAAAAGTGAATTTTTTTAATAAGAAGAAGGAAAGTGCTTATTTTGCACCAGCCAGATGAGATTGTTTTGGTTTTATTTCTTAGAACTAAAGTAAATTTTCTTAGGTTACTATGACGCCAGGCACTTTAAAACATGCCATAACCAGATATGTAACATGTAACCCCAGATCTTGGGAGGTGGAGGCAAGAGGATTTGGAGTTCAAGGTCATCCCCAGCTACATAAAAATTTGGGGGCCACTCCTGGTTACACTGAGATTCTGTCTCAACAACCAAAAATAATAATAAAATGAGGCATCAAAATAGCTGTTAGAACTCTTGTAATGCTTAACCATAATTTCACAGTAGGTTCATAAAGTTAATTACATAATGGCATCATGATTGCTAAGTATCCTTAAAATGGATTATCAAAAACTTGCAGAAACTGGCACACTTGCATGCACCCACACAGGACTGAGGAAGGGGATGGGATGCCCAGGATTATCTATGTAGCACAGTGATGAGAAGAGGAGAGAAAACACGATTGAGGCTTTAAGGAGTCAGTCAACTTGAAATTTATTGGCTGATGGACAACTGCCACATGTCTTTTCCACTACAATCCTGCTGTTTTCTCTTTAGGAATGATGGGAAACAGCCACTGACTGTTGTGGAAGGCTGCGTGGTTCTAGATGATATCTTCCTGGACGTCTACACTGTACAGACCTTGTTTGGCAGTCTTCATCAGCTTTCTGACATCTTGTCAAGAATCAGTAAAGGGGCAAGGATTCTTGCTCTGTTAGTTTCCACGATGCAGCCGTTTAACAGCATCTCATCCAAAATGATGTGGACTTTATCCAAATTAAACATTATCTAGGTTATATTAAGGAAATTAGATTGAGAATTTAACAAATATAAATAGTAACATGGCTTAGCCTGGTATTTTCCTGGTAAATAAGCCTAAACACGAGTTTTGTTGTTTTTTAAATCTTTAGTAGAGATTACCTTCATATACATGTACACACCTAGATTCACCTTGGCTAAGCCAGTTCAGTAAGTAGACACTAACATGTAATGGCTCCTTAAATTATCTATTTGTGTATCTGTGTGTGTATGTGTGTTATGCATGAGTATATGTATGTGTGTGTGTGTGTGTGTGTGTGTGTGTGTGTGTATGCATGCATGCATGCATGTATATGTGCTCAGGAGGGAACTCAGGGCCTTGCAACTAGGTAACACTCTAGCACTGAGCAACATCCCAATTCTGAACAGCACATTTTATTAACTAAAGTGAGGGAGAATCTATTAAATGCCAGCGAACACAGCAAGTAGCATTTCATTAAGGAAACCACTTGACCTGAGTAGTGATGCAAGCCTGTAGAATGCTCTCTGTGCTCAAGGCTCTGTGATAATGCATTAGTATATTATCTTGGTCTTCTCGACAATCCTCATTTACTGAGAAGCAAACAGGCCAAAGTCTTTGGCTGTGGTCACAGCACTGGTGAAGCCAGGGCTGTACTGTGCTGACTGCTCTGTTCTCCAGGGTTCTCTTGAGGGGCCCAAGGCTCCAAGTCAACACTGTCCCTCAGCCCCAGGGCTCTCTACCACGATCACCCTTCTCGGCCTGCATCATCAGCTGTATTCTCTGCCAGGCAGAAGAAAAATAGTCTAGAGGAAAAAGGACTACAGGAGGGGAGCCATGCTAGAAACTTCCCCCAAGGATGGAAGTTGTGAGTTTCACAAATGGAGAGTTCCACAACTTTTCGATTATGAAGGCTTCCCTTGGTGGGGCACTTACTGGAAAACTAGTCTCTGAAAGGGAAGAAGAAGCCACTGGGCAGTGAGAAACCAGAAAGAGCCATACTCCCTGAGAATCCATTCATCTGGGTATTAACTAGAGCAAGATGGCTGCAGTGTGTGAATGTTTCTTAATTTTACATTTGAAATCTGAGAGTCTGCTTTTAAAGAGCTGTTTGAAAAGAAAACAGCTGTTTCAAAAAGACAAACTTCATTCATCAAATGGGTGATTCATTAGACGCACCAGCGAGTTTGTAACTATGAATCTTATAAAACCAATCATAACCTGATTTTGTTCAATTCCTGATGTCCAAAGTCTATTGTATTTGTTCAGTGAATGACTTTCCAGTTTCCATTAGTTTCTGCTAACATCTCATTAAGTGCTATGCAAATAGCCAGCCAGCGGAAGAAACTTTTTTCTGGAGCCGATGGGAATTGTCCTTAAGTGACCCAGAAAAAAAAAAAAAAAAAAAAAAAAAAAAAGCCTTGCTCTGATATACCTATTAATAATGTCTTCCAATTATATAGATGATTGCTGTGTCCCAGGTCAAAGTAGGACTGGAATGAATGCTAGGCTCAACCCTGTTCATCAGAACCAGCAGCCAGAGTTTACAAGCTGAGACAAAGTGATAATGCAGTTGGGCCAATAGAAAGAATTGAGGGGCTGGGAGTACAGCTCAGTCAGCTTGCCTAGAAGGCATGAGGTCCCCAGTTCAATCCCAGCACCATATAAACAAAGTGTAGGAATGCATACCGCATACCAGTGATCTCAGCTCTTGGGAGGTGAGGGCAGGAGGGTCAGAAGTTCGAGGTCATTTTTGGCTACATGTCGAGTTAGAGGTCTGCCTGGGATAGTAACAGCCTGTCTCAAAAATAAAAGGATGAAGCAGCACAGGTGGCCGAATGAAAAAGACCCCTGAGCTCTCTGAAGGTACTGACGGTAGAGGGGGCTTCTTTGGGATAGGAGGAAACCTAACTGTATCTCTTTCATTGCTTCACAATAAACAACTATCGTTCAGGTGTTCCTTTGAGCAGCTGCCTGACTGTCTGAAATTCAAATCAGGATTTATTGCTGAATCATATCAACCACTGACACCCCCATATTGCAAGGACAAGGTTTGGCAAGCCTGACCTTCCCAAGCTGGAAACACGAGTTAGTGAGGTCATTCTGTACTGTGCCTGTCTGTGTGTCTGGCTCGAACCCCAATGATCGCCCGGTTCTACATAAGCAAACCAGACCAGATGCTAACGAAAAGCAAAGGCCTGAAAGCTGATGCCCCCAAAACCACATGGCTCCTTTAAAATAAGAATGCAGCTGTTCACATCTGATTTAGTGTATGAGCAACTCTTACACACTGGCACAGCCAAGATTAGTGGTGTGTGGGTCACATGCCAGGGACCAAAGTCTCATAAATGCTCAGCTCGAGTGAGGCAATATAAACCCAGGCAAACACTTTAGCTCTGATGTTTGGAACAGGAGGGAGCAAGAAGGAACTGGATTGTGGGTCTATTAATTCAAGATACTGGGAAGAGGGCTTCCATCAGGCTGGGTTGAACATGACCAGCTCCGAAAACCACAACTTCCCAAGAAGCACATTTACCAAATCCCATTTTCTCATTCCGGAAACCCAAGAACCTTGTAGGATTTCTATGGAAGGCAGACTGGAATGGAACACCAGATGTGTCCTATACAAGACTTTCTGCCTCTGAAAACACGTTTCTCACTTGATGTTTTATTGTATTTTCCTTGTTATGGTAGTTGAAGATGGCCCTGGAACTGCTGACCCTCCCACATCCACCTTCCCAGTGCTGGAATATAGGTGTGAGCCACCAGACCCAGCCCTACATGGTCTTGTGGTGGGTTAATTGTCCTTTAATAAGTGAGAGGAGAGAAAACCACAGTCAAATGGGACTTTCAGAACAAGTATAGGCAGAGCCCAGCCTAGACACAAAAATGGCTAACTCCAGGGAGCTGAAGAGATGGCTCAGCAGTTATGAATACCCACATGGCAGTTGACAACCATCTGTAATTCCAGTTCCAGGAGGCCTGACACCCACTCCTGAACTCCTTGGGCACTTATCATGCAGGTGGCACACAGATAAAGCACCCATACACATAAAATAAATCTAAAAACAATTTTTTAAAGTATGAACATCTGGTTCTGTCTGCAATTTTCTGCTTGCTTTGCAGGGACTGAACTCAGGGTCTTAGGGATGCTAGTTGATGCTATCCCATATCCCAGTGAACCACACAAGGACAAATGAACCCTAACTCCTGTTGCTTCTCATAACTTGCAAGTTTGAAACCGGCCTGGGGTACATAGCAATTTCCAGGCCAGCCTAGGCTGCAGAGCCTGTTGCCCCAAATTAGCTAGTTAACTAACTAACTAACTAACTAACTAACTAACTAATAATTAACTAACCAACCATAAAACAAAGGAGATACATAAGTGTGAAGGCTATAGGAGTCTGGAAGTGGACTTCTGGATTTGTGCCATTCACATCTCTTTCTCAGAGGAATGGTCCTTGGGAATGGTCATACCTGAGAATCTCAGTATTGGCTGAGCTTCTGGGAGCACACACAGAAGGCTTTGGGCCATTGGGAAGTTGAATATTCCCTGCGATGGCAACCCTGAGCAATGCCTACTTTCCTGGCTGCTATCTCCACAGTCCTTGTTTGAGGAAATGCCTTTGCAGTTTCTCATTACATCAGGCTGAGATTAGCGCCTGTGGGGAGCAGTTCTCTGCTGGTTTTTGGACCTACAACGGGCACAAGCTTTTAGGATGTTAGTGAAGAAAGTAGACCTGGGTTCTGGGTCTCAAGTATAGCAAGTCTACGAATCCCAGTGGTGCCAGTCACTGATCAGGGTGGTCTGCAAGCTGTCATCATCTAGGGATGTGCTCTGCTAGGTGGTGGCAGAGTCAGACTGCATACAACACTAATGTCATTCCTTGCGACCCCAGCTCAGTGGTAATAAAAAAAAGTATGAAACAGGTGCCTTTGCAAACTTGCAGCAGCTCTGAAGTGCCAGAGTCAGTGGCTTTGGGGCTTTAAGGGGTTCTAAAATAAAATCATGTTCTACAGAACTGTCAGCTGGGCAGTGATAGTGCATGTCTTTAATCCCAGCCGTCAGGAGGCACAGGCAGGTAGATTTCTGAGTTTGAGGCCAGCCTCGTCTACAGAGCAAGTTCCAGGACAGCCAGGGCTACACAGAGAAAGCCTATTTCGCAAATAGGTAGGTAGGTAGGTAGGTAGGTAGTCTCAGAGATCATGGCCCATTTCATCAGTTATACAACCATCTGACAATAAAAACTGAAACATTCCTAATTATAGTGACGCAGAAGCAGGCAGATCTCTCACGTTTGAGGCCAGTCTGTAGTCTGTTCTACAGAGTGAGTTCCAGGACAACCAGGCCTATATGGACAAATCCTGTCTCAAAAAACAAAAACTGTTATGTTTTTGGTTGTGAGCCTAGCCCTTAATAGCTGAGCCATCTCTCCAGCCCATCAAAGATGGGCTAGAATATACATCTTTAAAATTTAAAAAACAAAACAAAAAAAACCAAACCAAAAACTGTCTATCTGTCCATCCACCCCTATGTAGTTCAAGCTGGCTCTGGACTTCATCTTTCCAAGACCAGGATAAGTGTGTCCTCATGTTTCGACCCCCAAAGAGGGTTCTAAATCAAACCTTTGGGGTTCTGAGCTATCTCACATTTGTGTGGGAGGGAGCATAAGAGGACACGTGTGTAAAGACACCAGGAAGGTACTGGCTTTCTTCCTGTGTATGCAGATACACAGCACAGTTACTCTCCTAATATCTGTTGGCTGCCCCTGCTTCCAGACCTGGGAGGGGATGAGTGAAGAAGGAGCCCCCAAGAGTTCAGCAGCAGACTCTGGGTCATTTGGCTACCCAGGATACTAGAAGGCAATTAAGCAGCAAATGTTGGCCATATGTGGTGATATAGGCTGCTAATCAAGCATGCTGGAGGCTAAGGCAGTAGCAGGGATAGGAGTTTGGGGCCAGCTATATATTGAGTTTGAGGACAGCCTGTACTACATGAGACTTCGCCTCAAAAACAAACAAATGAGGAACTGGGCTATCAGATGGCTAAGTGCATAAGGTGCTTGCCATGAGCCTGACATCAAGTTCCATCTCTGGAGCCCACATGAAGCTGGAAGGAGAACCAAGTCTACAAAGTGGTCCTCTGCCTTCTGTATGTCCAGCATGATGCACACACACAGCAGATGGCTATGAGTTCCAGGTGAGCATCCTCTCCTCCAGAGGGGATGCTGCTCAAAGTCAGAATGGGGTCCTCAAAAGTGAAGGGCCCTGAAGGGAGCCCTTAATCACCCAGGGCAGAGAAAGTGCTGCTGTGTCCCATTCTTGCCACAGCAACGCCAGTTGTTGGGAGCTGGGAATCAAGCCCAAGGCCCTGTGTTGCCAGGTGAGTGCTCTGCCATTACTCTATACCTGCAGCCCTGTCTAAGGACCAGGCACCATGATGACAGTTGAGGTTGTCTATACCTCTATGTGCATAGCAGGTGCATGCTAGATTGAGGAGTTGGCACCTGTTCACATGGTGCTAGTCACCAGTGTCATCGCCTGACTGCTTAGCAGGCAGGGCTGGAGACAGGTCCTTTGAATTCTGAAGAGTTCAGGGCTGGTCATGTTTTATGAAACCCATTAATTGGTGTTTTAAAACAAAACAAACAAACAAACAAAAAAAAAAACAATCTTAGCCAGGCAGTGGTGGTGCATGCGTTTAGTCCCAGCACTCGGGAGGCAGAGGCAGGCCGATCTCTGTGAGTTCGAGACCAGCCTGGTCTACAAGAGCTAGTTCCAAGACAGCCTCCAAAACCATGGAGAAACCCTGTCTTGAAAAACAAACAAACGAAAAACAAAAGCAAAAAACAAAAACAAAAAATCTTCATGAAACTTGAAGTCTTAAGTAAACCCAGCAAGCTATTTGAAGTAAAATCTCTATGGAAATAGGCCCTTGCAGCAGCAGCCTAGTTTGGGAGATTAGGAAGCTGCAAGGACCCCCATCGGGGTGCTTAGATCACTTAGGTGCTCAGTCTAGATGGACAGTTTGCACCCCAGGCACCCCTACACCAAGGGGTTCCACATATTGGAATGAAGGGTTTCAACAAGCCAGAATTCCTGAACTGCTTTCACCTGCTTGGGTCATTTCTGTTTAAATTCCATCTGTCTTGCTCTAAGTCTCAGCTGGGAGTAGAATAGTAGCCTGTACTAGAGGGAAACACCATGATCTGAGCTGGCTTTGCAAGGGGCTTCTTGAGAACTTCCCGAGGCGCTGACCCCTCTTATGTTATGTTAGCACATGCAGACCCTAACTCATGGCAACTCGGTGGGGACATACCGGAAAAGCTTGCTTGCTTGCTTCCTTCCTTTCTTTTTCTTTGCGGTTTTGTTTTGTTTGTTTTGCTTTTTGGTTTTTCAAGACAGGGTTTCTCTGTGTAGCCCTTGCTGTCCTTTATGTGTATGTACATGGGTGGGTTTATTTATTTTTTAATGTTTTTCAGTGTTTCACCATGTAGCACTGCCTGGCCTAAAGCTCACTCTGTAGACCAGGCTGGCCTGAAACTCACAGAGACCTGCCTGTCTCTGTCTCCTGAGTGCTGCAATTAAAGGCATGTGCCACCATGTCTAGCCTGTCATGACAGGTTCAAGCAAGAGCACTTTCTCCAGCCCCAAAGCAGGCAGGCTTTTGAAGAAAAAAAAAAATTGTAGAAGTCAACATATTATACTTCTAAAAGTCTGGTGAGTGCCTGCCCATATCTGAGGTCCCAGGCATGCTATTTTTGTAAGGTGCTGAGACAGAGTGCAGGGTCAAACACAAGGTAGGCAGGTGTTCTGCCACAAGGCCTGCATCCCTCATCCTAGAGACAGTTTTGATTTAAAGAGAGAAAGAAAAGAACTTTTTCTGCTGATTGTAAATGGACATAAGCCAGGCGCTGTCTTTAACCCTCCAGGTCACCCCCCTCCCAGAATGCCACCTTCCATTCATGAGGGGATTCTGGGGATTTACCCAGAAAGCTCAGTCTCTCTGAGAAAGCTCAACACATGTTTTGAACAAACTCATCTGATATGTGGAAGTTAAACCAATATATAACAGTTACTTTTAAAATACAGAATTTATTTTTATTTTATGTGCACTGATGTTTTGCCTGCATGCATGTCTGATCAACTGGAACTGGAGTTACAGACAGATACGAGCTGCCATGTGTGTGCTGGAAATTGAACCTGGGACTTCTGGGAGAGCGGCCAGTGTGCCTACCACTGAGCCATCTCTCCAGGCCCATTTAATAATTGTTTTTGAATGCTGCCACCTCATTGCTCTGTTTGGAGAAAAAGAAAAAGCGATCTTATAAAACATTGTCTTCGAAAGGAGAGGCTGGGGGAAGGGGTGGTGCCTGAAAATCATGGCAGGGTCACAGGTGATTAGCATCCTGGACTCTGTCAAATCAACCCCCCCCCCCCCCGCTGTGTAATGGCACTTACCTGATTATACCTAGAGTATGCTTTGCCACATACCATGGAAAAATGTTTTGAAAAAGGATACATCTAGTTCACTCTGAAAAAGAAAACAAAAATGCACAGTCAGAAGATGACCCCAGACAATAATGCCACCTGAGCAGACAGGGATTGCTCTGCCTCCAAGCCAGGAAGCAGCAAGTGCGGCTCCTATATATACCTGGCTGGAGTGGGAGCCTGGAACCGGAACGTGGGATAAAAGGGGCAAAGGAAAAGAAAACTGCAGGTTACAGGAATTTTCGAGGTCAGAAAGTAGAGGGAGAGCTGGGCTTGGTGGCTCATGAGTGTAATCCTGGGAAGCTGAGGCAGGAGGATTGTCAGAAACCCAAGCCTGTCTGGGCTAATCGAGTAAGATCCTGTCTCAAAACACCAAGGCAAACAGAAAACAAACAAAAAGTAAGTATTGGGAAATAATAAACTAATTCAACCTTTGTAGCTGGTGGGTAATCTAATACACTTATCAGAAGCCTCAGTCATATGCCTTCTCGTAGTACCCACTGATTGACTTCCAGAAGTTTATCTTTAGGAGCAGGGAACAGTGACAGAATAGAGTTATCAACAGCAAACTACTGACAACAATCCAAGAACCTATCAAGAGGAATTAGTTAAGTAGATGATAGCCATCAACAAATGGTGATGTAGATGTCTAACTAATGCTAGGCAAGCTTGCAGGTGTATCTCAGAGACACAGCACACACCTGCCATTTTTAATGCCCTAGGGTTGATCTCTACACCACAAAAAGTAAATAATAATGTCATAGGGTTGATCTCTACACCACAAAAAGTAAATAATAATGTCAGGTGGTGGTGGTGCACATCTTCGATCCCAGCACAGGGGAGGCAGAGGCAGATGGATGTCAGTGAGTTCGAGGCCAGTCTGTTCTACAGAGTAAGTTCCAGGACAGCCAGAGTTGTTAAACAGAGAAACCCTGTCTCAAAAAACTAATCAACAATAATAATAAATGTTAAAAAGTGGCATGTAGTTAGTTCTATGTATGCATGGATTCCGTATGCATTAATTCAACCAAGTACTCTGTGAGATACTTGGAACAAACTGCTTGTACTCAACATACACACTTTTTCCCTCTGCCATGATTTCTTAGGTGCAAGTACTCATAGAGCATTTACTGTGTGCTAGGCGCCATCAATAACTGAGATGAGTTAGCATTATGCAGGTGTGTATATAGGCTATATGCAAATACCAACCACTGCACATAAGGACTTAAACTTGTAGGGATCTGGTACCCACAAGGGTGTGGTAGGGCCTAGGAACCATCTCCCTGCACTGTCAGGGTTGTCTTATAGACAGATGTACATGGAGATGTCCAGTTCCAAAGTTACAGGTGGGTGTGTTAAGTCTAAAGGGAAGATGTCCCTAATTGATGGGGTGATAGACGATCTTCCACCCATTTTGAAAACACCCTATTTGAACAGCACTTTCAGGTTCACAGTAAAATTTCGGTGATGGTATAGAAATATCTCATATGCATAGCCTGCCTGCTTCTCAATATCCAGTCTCAGAGAGGATCTTTGTTCACAGAGAGGGGCTCTTTGTTACTTTTCTTGTTACAGGTCACTCAGAGTCCACATGAGGTTTCACTCAGGCGGTGTGCCATCTGAGGCCCATCCTCTTTTCTCTCTGCTATCTGTACTTATTGTTGTCAATGAAATAGTCCTGCAGAGGAAACAGGAAGTGGAAATGAGATCATACGTGATGTGATAGGGCTTCTGTGTGTCAAGGGCAGGACAGGAAACCTGGTTGCCTCTTTTCCCTGGGAACCTCCAGAAACTAACTCGTTTGGCTTTTGTTTTGGGAAATCCGATGCTGCTAAGCTTTTCTCGGTGCATCAGCATGAAATGCATTTCCAAGTTTAAGATGTTGAAACTCTGTAGGATAAAAATAGCTTAGAAAGACTGCTTAAAACTTACACATCTAAAAAGGAATCTTGGCTGACAGGGCACCCCTTACGAGGATTGGGCCCTCTTCTTCCCCATGGTCTTTCTTCCCTTCCACTGTCAGTCTTTTTGCTCTGGTTTAATCCTAAACAGGGTCACCGCCGGTCCAGCACAAGCCCTGCATTGTCACCTGGCTTAAGTTAAATTTAAATCTTGAATTCTGTGGTTTATGCAGTCACAGACTCTCTCCCTAAAATTACAGCTATAATTTGGCATGAGGTGTTTATTTTCAGTAACTGGATATAATCATAACTTAAGCATCTTGCAGCAACGGCATCTGGACCTTTTGTTCTTCCTGCTTTAAGACATTTTGGAAATGTCTTAGGTGAGTGTCACCTAAAAGTGGATTCCTGGGCCATCACAGACCCTGCCTTGCAACCAGGCTACTGTAACGCCAGAGTGGTCTCCTTGAGGAGCAGATGCCAAAGCTGTGCTGGTAATATGGCTACCACCAGCTAAATGTGGGATTTACATTGAGACTCCTTATAATGCAATAATGTCTCAATTTCTTAGTCACTCCAAGCACAGTGCACATGCTCAGAGCTGCCCACAGCAGTTGGCAGGCTGACAGCATTTCAAGTACTACAGAAAGGTTATGGATATTGCTTACCTATGACGCTTTATCTACACAATCAATATAGATGTAGATTTAAGGCTAGGCTCCTGTCCTCTATCCCTGAATGTCCAGGCTTTGAAATCATCTGATCTCTTCTCCATTCTCAGCCCTGGAGGACACCCATCACTTGGAGACAGACGACCTGTCATATCACGGATCAGCAGGCATCTTCTAAGCTCTGACTCTTGAAGTAGGAAATTGCTGACCACAGTATCACGCATTAAGAAAGCAGCTCCCAAACTTCAACATGTGTCACAGTCACTGGAAGGCTTGGTAAAACACACTGAGGGGACACAGGTCAAAATTTCTAACCCCTGGCATGGGGCAGGGCACAGAGCCTGAGTGTCTAGAAGGTTCCCAGTTTATACTGCTGGTCAAGGTACCAGACTCTGGGAACACTGCATTGAGGCAATGAGAACGGGCTGGTTCCCCATGAGGCACTTCTAAAATTCATCTTAGGCCACAGAAATTATATGAAAGACACAATTTTGTTTTGCTGTTTTTGAGACAAGATCATGTGTGGTTTAGGCTGCCTTTTTAACTGCCCATGAATCAAGAAAGACCTTGAACTCCTAACCCTCTTTTCTTTTTCTACCAATCACATGTTGGGTACTACAGCACTACCATATCTCAGAATATACAGAGTTTTGCCTTCTTGGTATTAGCATACCTCGTACACTGATTATGGAGCAATATCCACTCACTGTCTCAGGAAGCAGCATGGAACAGTTCCTTCCTAATATTTTTATATAAAATTAGAATGAAATAAATCAACTTGAAAAACAGTAAGTTAGGGATGTAGCCTTGCTGGTAGAGTGTTTACTCAGCATGCACAAAGCCCTGGCTCAACCCTCAGTGCTGTATGAACTGAGAGGAGCAGCACTTGTTAAGTCCCAGCACTAGGGAGGCAGAGGCAAGAAGATCAGATCCCAAGTTCAGTGAGGATACCTGGGGCACGTGAGGCACTGTAGTTGGTGCTGGTAATCATATACCGTTTTCACTGATGTCTTTTTAAAAGACTGCAGTGATTCCAATTTACTACAGAGCTACATTAATAAGGGTAGTGTGGTACTAGCAATGCTATGCTCTGTGGAATAGAAATGAGAGTCCTGAAATAAACTTTTGCATTCTATTTAGAAAGAATTTTTTTTTTTTTTTTTTTTGTTTGTTTGCTGAGATGGGGCCTCATGTAACCCTAGCTGGCCTTGAACTTGCTATGTAGCTAAAAGCCTTGACTCCTGGTCTTCCTGCCTCCATCCTACACGTGCACCACTGTGAGTTGAAGGCCAGCCTTGTTTGCATAGTAAGATCCTATCGCAGAACATGGGGGAAAAAGAAAGGAAGAACGAAAGAAAGGTAAGATTTGGTGAGGCTAGAGAGAAATTGGAACACTCATACTGATGTTAGGAATTTAAACAATGCAGATATTGGAAAACAGCTTGCCAGTTAATAAAAATATTAAATATGAAAGTATCAGTCTACCAATTAATTTTTCTTTCAGGCCTATGTATGACCAAGAGAATTTCATTTAATTAATTTATTTACTTCGAAACAAGGTCTCAGTATGTGGCTCTGGCTGGCTAGAAACTTAGGTGCAGACCAGGCTGGGTCTCAAACTCATAGGGGTCCATCTGCCCCTGCCTCTGCCTCCTGAGTACTAGGATTAAAGGTGTGTGCCACCATGCCAAGATTTTTTTTTTCTTTTAGAATTAAAAAAGAGGATCTGATCTGTTAAAAATGTGACAAAAACTATGGCACTATTCATAAAAGTCCCCAAGTGAAAATAAGCTTCACGGCTATGAGTGACAAGTAGACTGAAAAGTGTGACAGAGTATTATTTACTAATAAAGATGAAAGGAATGCTGACAATGCTGTGCCATTGATGGATCATGGAAACATCATGCTAAGGGACAAAACTGCAGAAGCATAGAAAACAGGCCAGTCCTAGAGACAGAGATTAGTGGTTACTAAGGCCTGGAGTAGGTTGAAGGAGCTCATGGGGGAAATGTCGATGAGTAAATATGCTTATCTTTCATGGGATGCATTTTCCTTACAATGACAGTGGTATGTTATATGAATTATAGCTACAACATTTCTAAAAAAAGGATGGTGGAAAGCATATTCCTAAAATGACTTTTGACCAATAAAGCAAAGGTTTGGATGGAAGTGATTCTCCTTCTTCTATTTTATGTGTTATAGATGTTTTGTCTGCATGTATGTCTACATGTGTGTCTAGTGCCCATAGAGGCCAGAAGAGGGCATCAGATCCCCTGGGACTGGAGTTATGGATGACTGTGGCCTCCATGTAGTTGTTGGGAACCAACCATGTCTTTTGCTCGAACAAGTGCTCTTAACCTCTGAGCCATCACCCCAGTGTTCCTCCCACCCTGCTTCTTTCTACTCTACTGTAGATAGGTTGGTCTTGAACTTGCTATGTAATCAAGGATAACCTTGAACTCTTGATCCTTGTGTCCCACATCCTAAGTGCTGGTTGTCCAGGTGTGTACTGTTACGCCCTGCTTGAAAATGATTTGTTTTGTTTGATTTTGTTTTATGAGATGGGGTTTTTATTTGTATAGCCCTGGCCATTCTGGAACTCACTCTGTAGACCAGGCTGTCCTGGAACTCACAGAGATCTGCCTGCCTCTGCTCCCAAGTGCTGGGATTAAAGTTGTGCACCACCACTTTCTGATTGGAAATGACTCTTAAAGTAAAAAGGGTTCTGTTCTCTTAGGAAGGAAAGCAGAGGAACTATAAAACCAGCAAGTTAGAGGGAAAATGTCCTGATGGACAGTAAAATGCACGGAGGGACTTGGTTTTCTAAGACTTGCTTTGTAATGCTTAGGTTTTTGTTAACTTGACATAAGCTAGAATTATCTGGAAAGAGGAACTTTAACAGAAAATGCTTCCATTTTCAGCAAGCCTTTGGTACGTTTTCTTGATGATGTGGGAGTGCCAAGCTCAGAGGTGTGTGTATGTGTGTGTATGTGTGTGTATGTGTGTGTGTGTAAGTACAAGTGTACACCACCCTTGTGGTTCTGCGAACTATAAGAAGGCAGGTTGGGCAAGCTAAGGGGAGCAAGCCAGTTAGCAGCATTCCTCCATGGCTTCATATTTTAGGCTTCTGCCCTGAGTTCCTGTTCTGGTTTCCCTAAGCCATGTACTATGACCTGGGCATTGTAAGCTCCCCAAGTTGTTTTGTGTTTACTACAGCAATAGAAGCAAACTAAAATACTAATGCAATATGGGTTTGTAATACCTAATGATGAGCAAGAAGAAATGGTAATCCAGTACCATTCATTTCAGCTTTTACACATTAATTATGTGAACACATAATACAGGCTCATTTTTTTTTAGCCATTAGACTTACCACTCGGCTGAAGTACTCATCTAAAACTTCCACAAAATTGTGTATAAATTCATAAACAGCCATCTCATTCTGAAATAAAAAGGGGTATAATTAATTTCATCATGCCCTCAGTTTAAAAAAAAAAGCTCCCGTGGGTTCCAAGGTCTTAGAGCCCATGGCTCAGTGCAGATGTGTGAGCAAATCAGCATGCTCATCACTGATATACAGAGGGCCTGAGACTGCTCATGTGACGGCATCACTGTGGCTCAGTAGAGTCCTTGTCTAGGATGCTGCCTTGCATGCTTGAAGCCCTGGGTTTAGCCCCCAGCACCATATGATCTGGGTGTAGTTGCATGCCTGAAATTCCAGCAGCTTGGTCTACAGGAGACACTGTCTTAAAACAGGGAAGAAAGGAAAGGAAAAGACACTAAAGTAAAGGTGCTAATCAGTGAAGGAAATACAGGAACCCTTAACCACTAAGACTTTTGTAGTGAGGATGAATCTGGCCACACTAAAACTTCAGAGCACAGATTAGAGGTGTGAGCTCCACTCATGGCCTTAAACACTGGCTGGAGCAATCTTCCAGGCCAAACTGGGAAGACTGCTTGAGCCTACAGGTAAGACACCAGCCTAGGGGAACATAACCAGAGGCTGCTGCAACAAAACAAAATAAAGCAAAACAAAAGGGAACAAAACTCGCACACAATAAAAGGACAAGCAAGAAGGCTCGGTGGGGAAAGGCAAGTCAGCAAGTCTGATGACCTGACTTTGCTCCCCTGGGACCATGTGGTGAAAGGAGAGGATCCATTTCTGCAGGTGGTCCTCTGACATCCACATGTATATTGTGGCACAAATAAATAAAATATAGTGGTGACACATGCCTTTAATTCCATCACTCTGAGTTTGAGGCAGTCTGCTCTTCATAAAGTTGTAGGTTATCCAAGGCTCACAGTGAAACTGACTTTAAATAAATGAATAAATAGCAACAAAATAAAAAACACAAACAAACAAAACAAAAAAAAACCCCAAAAAACAACAAAAAAACCCTACACATGAAAAGGAAATCCGGGCCCCTGCCAAAGAACGAGGTCTCAGCTGGAGAGCACCAGTTTCCAGTGAGATCCCACTACCCTGCAAAACCTTCTCAAGTTCCAGCCCAGCCCTCATCCTCTTCTGCCAGCTATTGGCCAGAGGTGAGTCTGGGCCCAATCGGGGCTGCCTGTCCCCTTCAACCTCTTTTCCCCCCTCCCCCCGCCTGAACTCCCTGGATTGGCCCCTGATCCTGCTGCTCCTGTCTCCGGTCCCCTTTGAGAGCACCCTTGGAGCTCTGATAAACCCCCACCCATCCCAACCTCCAGCCTACCCCCCCCCCCTGTGCCCTACCCCACCTACGGTCCTGCCCCTCTGGTTGAGCACTGGGACAGAGGGTGGAGCCAACAGTCCACCCTACTTCGGAGACCTCTTGGAGCAACTCCTAACAAAGGAGACCTGACTATCCACGCGGGACCACCTTTTTTTTCCCCCCCCCCCCCCCCCCCCCCCCCCCCCCCCCCCCCCCCCCCCCCCCCCCCCCCCCCCCCCCCCCCCCCCCCCCCCCCGCCCCCCCCCCGGCCCCCACCCCCCGCCCCCCACACCCACCCCCCCCCCCCCCCCCCCAACCAGCCCCCCCCCGCCCCGCCCCCGCCCCCCCCCCCCCCCCCCCCCCCCCCCCCCCCCCCACCCCCCCCCCCCCCCCCCCCCCCCCCCCCCCCCCCCCCCCCGGCCCGCAGCGAGCCCCCCCCAAGGCCCCACACACCACAAAAAAGACATCAAATCTTCTCCCCACACCACCCCCCCAGGAGGGGCCCACAAAAGGGGGGGGGGGGCCCCCCCCCACCCCACAAGGAGAAAACATAGGGAAGAAGGCCAAACAAGAGAACACCTAACAACAGAAAGACAAACATGACACCACCAGAATCTAGGGAATCTACACCAACTAGAATGGAACACAACAACAAAGCAGAGGAAGCAGAAGGGTACGACTTAAAAATCACCATCATAAAAATGATAGAGGCCCTCAAAGAAGATATGAGAAAATCCCTTAAAGAAATAGAGGAAAAAACAAACAAAAAAGTGGAAGAAATGAACAAATTCCTTAAGGAAAGTACAGAAAGCCAAGAAAAAACAATTAACCAGGTGAAGGAAACGGTTCAAGATTTGAAAACCGAAATTGAGAAAATAAAGGCAACACAAATGGAAGGAAAGCTGGAAATTGAAAAGCTGGGCAAAAAATCGGAAACCACGGACACAAGCATAACCAATAGAATTCAAGAGATGGAAGAGAGAATCTCAGGCGCAGAAGATAAACTAGAAGAAATAGATTCATCGACCAAAGAAAACCATAAATCCAACAAATCCTTAACACACAATATCCAGGAAATGTGGGACACCATGAAAAGGCCAAACCTAAGAATAATAGGCATAGAGGAAGGTGAGGAAGCCCAGCTCAAAGGTGCTGAAAACATATTCAACAAAATCATCGAGGAAAACTTTCCAAATCTGAAGAAGGACATGCCCATGAAAGTACAAGAAGCATACCGAATCCCAAATAGGCTGGACCAAAGAAAAAAGACCCCTCGACATATAATAATCAAAACACCTAGCATACAGAATAAAGAAAAAATATTAAGAGCAGCGAAGGAAAAAGGACAGGTAACATATAAAGGCAGACCTATCAAAATTACACCTGACTTCTCCATGGAAACCCTCAAGGCCAGAAGGTCCTGGATAGATGTTCTAAAAGTATTAAGAGAACACGGATGCCAGCCTAGGCTACTATATCCAGCAAAACTCTCAGTCAATATAGATGGAGAGAACAAGATATTCAATGACAAAACCAGATTTTCCCAATATGTATCTACAAATCCAGCCCTACAGAAAGTATTGGAAGGAAAATTCCAACCCAAGGAAGGTAACTACGCCTACAAAAATGTAGGCAACAGATAATCCAACTACACCAGAAACCTAGGGTGAAGCAGAACAAATATATTCACAATACCACTGCCAACAACAAACCTAAATCAAACAACCATCAACAATCAATGGTCCTTACTCACCCTCAACATTAATGGTCTTAACTCACCTATAAAAAGACACAGATTAACAGAATGGATACGAAGACAGAACCCATCCTTCTGCTGCATACAAGAAACACATCTTAGCTCCAAAGATAGACATTACCTCAGGGTAAAGGGTTGGGAAAAGATTTTCCAATCAAATGGAAATAAGAAGCAAGCAGGCGTAGCTATCCTAATATCTAACAAGCTAGACTTCAAACCAAAACTAGTCAAAAGAGATGAAGAAGGTCATTTCATATTCATCTCAGGAGAAATCCATCAACACAAAGTCTCAATTCTGAACATCTATGCCCCTAATACAAAGCCACCCACATTCGTAAAAGAAACACTACTAAAACTCAAAGCTCATATAAAACCTCACACACTTATAGTGGGAGACTTCAATACACCACTCTCAACACTAGACAGGACCACAAATCAGAAACTCAACAAAGAAACAAAAGAATTAACAGAAGTTATGTCTCAACTGGGGCTAACAGACATCTATAGAACATTCCATCCAAAGACAAAAGAATATACCTTCTTCTCTGCTCCACATGGAACCTTCTCTAAAATCGACCACATACTAGGAGACATAACAAACCTCAACAGATACAAGAGAATAGGAATAGTCCCCTGTATCTTATCGGACCACCATGCTTTAAAATTGGAATTCAACAACAATACAAATAGCAGAAAACCTGCAAACTCATGGAAACTTAACAATGTGCAATTGCACCACTCCTGGGTCAAAGAAGAAATAAAGAAAGAAATTAAAGACTTTCTAATATTCAACGAGAATGAGGATACAACATACCCGAACTTATGGGACACCTTGAAAGCAGTGCTACGAGGGAAGTTCATTGCACTAAGTGCCCATATGAAGAAAACAGAGGATAGTCACATAAATGAATTAACAGCGCAACTGAAAACCTTAGAACAGAGAGAAGCGAATTCACCCCGCAGGAGCAGACGCCAGGAAATAATCAACTTGAGGGCTAAAATCAACAAAATAGAAACCAGGAAAACAATACAAAAAATCAATGCAACAAAGAGTTGGTTTTTTGAGAAAATCAACAAGATTGATAAACCTTTATCCAAATTAACGAAAAAGCAGAGACAGAACATGCAAATTAACAAAATCAGAAACGAAATGGGGAACATAACAACAGACACAGAGGAAATCCAGACAATTTTCAGGTCATACTTCGAAAATCTGTATTCCACAAAAATTGAAAATTCAAAGGAAATGGACAAGTTTCTGGATAACTATCACTTACCAAAATTAAATCAAGAACAGACAAACAACTTAAATAGACCTATAACCCGAAATGAAATAGAAGCAGTCATCGAAAGCCTTCCAACGAAAAAAAGTCCAGGGCCAGATGGATTCAGTGCAGAATTCTACCAGACATTCAAGGAAGAACTAATACCACTACTCCTCAAACTGTTCCACAAGATAGAAACAGAAGGTTTATTGCCAATCTCTTTTTATGAGGCCACAATAACTTTGGTACCCAAACCTCACAAAGACACAACTAAGAAAGAAAACTACAGACCAATATCCCTGATGAACATCGATGCAAAAATACTCAATAAAATAATGGCAAACCGAATTCAAAAATACATCAGAGAAATCATCCACCATGATCAAGTAGGCTTCATACCTGGATTGCAGGGATGGTTTAACATACGAAAATCTATCAACGTGATCCACCATATAAACAAACTGAAAAAGAAAAACCATATGATTATCTCCCTAGATGCAGAAAAAGCCTTCGATAAAATTCAACACCCTTTCATGATAAAGGTATTAGAGAGGTCAGGGATAACAGGAACATACCTAAACATAATAAGAGCAATATACAGCAAACCAACTGCCAACATCAAACTGAATGGAGAGAAACTTAAGCCAATTCCTCTAAAATCAGGAACAAGACAAGGCTGTCCTCTCTCTCCATATCTCTTCAATATCGTACTAGAAGTTCTAGCTAATGCTATAAGACAACAAAAGGAGATCAAGGGCATCCAAATTGGAAAGGAAGAAGTCAAACTGTCTCTATTTGCAGATGATATGATAGTTTACATAAGCGACCCAATAAACTCTACCAGGGAACTCCTACAGCTGATAAACACCTTCAGCAAACTAGCAGGATACAAGATAAACTCAAAAAAATCAGTAGCCCTATTTTTTTCAGACGACAAAGAGGCAGAGAAAGAAATCAGAGAAACATCACCCTTTACAATAGCCACAAGCAACATAAAGTATCTTGGTGTAACGCTTACCAAACAAGTAAAAGATCTATATAATAAGAACTTTGTGACTCTAAAGAAAGAAATTAAAGAAGATACCAGAAAATGGAAAGACCTCCCATGCTCTTGGATAGGTAGGATAAACATAGTAAAAATGGCAATCTTACCAAAAGCAATCTACAGATTCAATGCAATCCCCATTAAAATCCCACCACAATTCTTCACCGACCTTGAAAGGATAATAATCAACTTTATATGGAAAAACAAAAGACCCAGGATAGCCAAAACAACCCTATACAATAAAAGAACATCAGGAGGCATCACCATTCCTGACTTTAAGCTCTACTATAGAGCTATAGTTCTGAAAACAGCCTGGTATTGGCATAAAAATAGACAGGTAGACCAATGGAATCGAATTGAAAATCCTGATATTAATCCACGCACCTATGAACACCTGATTTTCGACAAAACAGCTAAAATTATACAATGGGGCAAAGACAGCATCTTCAACAAATGGTGCTGGCACAATTGGATGAGGGTGTGTAGAAGACTGCAGATAGACCCATGTCTGTTGCCATGCACAAAACTCAAGTCCAAATGGATCAAAGACCTCAACATCAATCCAGCCACATTGAACCTCTTAGAAGAGAAAGTAGGAGGTACCCTTGAACAAATTGGTATAGGAGACCGCTTCTTGAACATAACTCCAGGGGCACAGACACTGAAAGAAACAATTAATAAATGGGACCTCTTCAAACTTAGAAGCTTCTGTAAGGCAAAGGACACAGTTGACAAGACCAAATGGCAGCCCACTGACTGGGAAAAGATTTTCACTAATCCTATATCCGACAAAGGGCTGATCTCCAAAATATACAAAGAACTCAAGAAACTAGTCAACAAAACACCAAATAACCCTATTAAAAAATGGGGTACAGAACTGAAGAAAGAATTCTCAATGGAGGAAATCAAAAAGGCTGAAAGACACTTAAGAAAATGCTCCACATCCTTAGCTATCAGGGAAATGCAAATCAAAACAACTTTGAGATACCATCTTACCCCTGCCAGAATGGCTAAAATTAGAAACACCAGTGATGACTTATGTTGGAGAGGATGTGGAGAAAGTGGAACACTCCTCCACTGCTGGTGGGAGTGCAAACTCATACAGCCACTTTGGAGATCAGTATGGCGGTTCCTCAGGAAAATGGGAATTAGTTTACCACAGGACCCGGCAATCCCCCTCTTAGGCATATACCCAAAGGATTCACATCAATGCAACAAAGACATCTGTTCAACTATGTTCATAGCAGCACTATTTGTAATAGCAAGAACCTGGAAGCAACCTAGATGCCCTTCAATTGAAGAATGGTTAATGAAGATGTGGCACATCTACACAATGGAATACTACTCTGCAGAAAAAAATAATGGTATCTTGAAATTCGCAGGCAAGTGGATGGCACTTGAAGAAACCATCCTGAATGAGGTAACCCAGTCACAAAAAGAGGAACACAGTATGTACTCACTCATATATGGATTTTAGACCTAGATCAAATGATCACCAGCCTATAATTCACATCACCAGAGGAGGAATAAGAAAAGAAATATTTTCTAAAAGATTAAAAAAAAAGCCCCCACAAAACCGGGGAGGGGCCAAGCCCCCAGACCTCAGGTATAGTGGGGGAGGACAGCTAATGGAGAGAGAAGTAGGAGAAAATGAGAGGGAGGAGAGGAAGGCATGTGCGACCAGGAGGATTGAGCCTGGTTAGGAATGGAAAATAGGAAAGAGAGAGAGAGACAGAGACAGAGAGAGAGAACATAAAAGAGGGAGCCAATATTGGTTTGAAGATAAAGTTGAACACAAAGAAAGGTCGAGGGAACTACAAGACTGCTCCCAACTAACAATCTCAGCTTCCGTGGAAAGGCTATCATAAATGCCCTTCCCAGAGAGTGAGATCAACAACTAACTTCTCCATGGAGTCCTCAACTAATGCCTGTTGAAAACAGGAGCAAACACCCATACATAAACACTGAGTCAAACTAGAACCCAGAAGCAGATGGAGAGGACAAGACCATGCGGTAGAAGTACATAGAGACAGCTTACCTGAACAAGGAGGAGCTAAGGGCCACTAGACTGATAGCTGGGAAGCCAACAGGGGTCTGACTCGGACCCCCCTGAATATGGGTCTCAGCCAGAAGGTCTGAGCAGTCTAAGAGACCTCAGACAGTGGAGCCAGGATGTATCCCTGGTGCACAAAAGGACTTTGCAAACATATCCCCCAAGGAGGGATAACTGCCTTATTCTAGAGATAGGAGAGAAGCCCTAGTCCCTACTTCACAGGACCTGTCAGATCTACATGACCCCAACTGGATGGCATTCCCCTACATATGGAATTGTGGTGGGGGGATGGGAGGGGAGGGTGTTTAGAGTGCATGTGAGAGGGCAGAGAGGGCAAAAGGGAGGGAAGGAGGGAGGGAGGGCTTGGGGGGAGGGAGGGAGGGAGAGGGAACTGGGATCGACATGTAAAATAAAAAAAAAAAAAAAAAAAAAAAAAACAAAAACGCTTTGACTCCAAAATTTAAGTTGAAGAACAAGTTACTGGGGAAAAGTATTTCTATTTTTGTTTCCACAGAAAATGAAAAGATGTGGATTCCTTCCAGACTAATGTGGTTTGATCACACCAGACCGCCTGAAACAGAGTACAAGCTGATCCTACATTCCAAACAGCTGGACAAAACAGCCCTACAGACTACAGCTAGGATATCTGAATCTTCTTCGAATCCCCCAAGACAGCGCCCCCTTACCAGCAGGAAGTAGTTTGGAAAGAACGACGCCCAAATTCCCAAATATTGTGTATAAATGTTTGTTTTCATTTAATTGGACTTTGTTATATAAAATTAAATAAAAAATACTCTATATGCATAAAAAAAAAAAAGAAAAACAAAGCCAAAAAAAGAAAAAAAAAAAAAAAAAAAAAAAAGAAAAGGAAAGTGTTTTGTGGTCATATTCTCTCTAATTATAAGCTGTTCATCTAGTCCACGAAGCATCTACAGTATTTCTCTTCCATCCAGCTTTCCAGCCTCAGTTGAAGCCCAGATACCCTGAAAGAGGCTACTATAGCTCTCAGGGAGCAAGTAGAAAAGAAACTTGAACTTAAGGAGAATGCAGGTCTTGAATTGTCCATGGACAATCTTACCTCCGTGTCATTAACTCCGACCACAATGAAGAGAGCTGCATACTGCCGGTAAATCAGTTTAAAATCCTTATATTCGATGAACGAGCACTAGATGAAACATAGTTAGACATTAAGGTCTGGTTGACTGAGGTTTCTTTGAACAGCACACATAATTCCTAGGTATCTGCCAACACACGTCTGGAAATTTAGACATTAAAATGTTAAACAGCCTTTGCTGGCTTCTGACAACACTCAGTGGATTGGCTACTCAGGAGTATCTCCAGGAAGAGAAGCAGTCTCGGGAAATGTTGAGTCAGTGATCGAATGGGTTCCCCTGTTCCTTTTTATTTTCATTTCTTGGCTCCCTGAGGTGCTCGGCAAGCAAAGCTAATGAGTAATTAGCATTTTAAAGCGCTTTACTGTGAAGATGCACTAGGATGGTCTTTCCACCTTTCCATGAATTCCTGGGAAGTGGTTAAATCTGCTTGGTTCTGTTCCATTGAATAGTCAGTCACAGGGCAGCCGGCTCAGGCAGTCTTATCTCCTGTCATCTGTCCCTCATCTACCTCCATGTAACTTCTTTTTCCTATTCATGAAAAGAGCCGATGTAGATTATTTTATAAATTATGTAATGGTGGCCTTTGTACAGCAGATGCTAGACAAGATTTTCCACTGTAAATACGGCTTCTTATGAATTAATAACCAGCTTACTGCTACTGAACTGTAGATAAAACAAATGTTTTCTAATTCATCTGTCTCCTTCAGCCTCTGTAGCTGGGTAGACTGAAGGCTGAAGGGGAAGTGTTAAGTTTTTGGTGTCAAGATGTGCTTGTCCAAATGTGACTGAACATGAACTTAGTGGCTGTTTGCTGCAGGACACATTGTTTTTGGGCACCCAATGTACCTGGAAAGGAAGCTGCATGCTTTGTCTATGGAAATTCCTCCATGGTAGATGGTTCTTGGCAGTCTATATAACATGGAGGGATTTCAGGGTTTAATATAAAATTAGGATAGAGCAAAGCATGGTGGCTCATGCCTTTAATCCAAGGCTGACACAGGGGTATCTCAAATTTATGGACAACCCAGGCTCCAGAATGTGGACTTTGTAACAGCTGTCCAATGCTTTCTAATGGAGCTGACAATTAGGGTTGGTAGTAAATAAATTCTCAAAGTAGTTTCTTTTTTTTTCTTTTTTTTTTTTTTTTTTGGCTTTTCAAGACAATGTTTCTCTGTAGCTTTGGAGCCTGTCCTAGAACTCGATCTGTAGCCCAGGCTGGACTTGAACTCACAGAGATCTGCCTGTCTCTGCCACCTAAGAGCTGGGATTAATGGCGTGTGCCACCAGCATATAAATTCTCTAAGTTCTTTGCAAAAATGGACTCAGTCTTTTTTGTTTTGTTTTTCTTTGTGTAGCTTTGGCTGTCCTAGAAATAGCTCTATGTACTTAGTTCTTTAAAATGGGGTGCAGTATAGCAGAGTGGTAGAGCATGTGTCTACAGCACGAGGCTCTGTGTTGAAACCTCAGTACCACAAAACCATTCTTTATTATGCTAATTAATATAGTTAGCCTCCAGGTTCTGGCAGGAGGAACAGATTTTTTATTTTGTATGAATTGAATTGTTAACTTCCATTTCCCGTATCTACATAATAAAAAAAAAAAACATAAATTCAAACTAAGCTTATTTTAAATCACTAGCCCTGCTATGACTTTGGTTGTATATTTACAAAAGACGGTAAGCAGAAAAGAATTATTCTTCACATGGAAATCATATTTCATTCTCTGGCACCATATGGGTCTTGAGTTTTCACTGTCATGCCAGTCATCTGACCTTCCTGTTTTGGCTCACAGAAAGCCACCAGCCAGCCTCAAACACTGTGGCGAGTTCCAAGGGCTGAATTCATAAGAACAAAAAAAGATTATGTCTACAAGCAGGAGTAAATTTAGCAGCTACTTCTAAGCTACACTAAGACAGCTATCCTAAATAAAAGCCCAGGACTTCCCTAGTTTGTTATTCTTTTGTGTTATTCTTACAGGGGTGGTAAGAGCCACACTTCCTTTCATCTACCTTTCTCTTTATTCCTTTTTGTCCTTGATAGTCCTTGAAGGAATACAGCTCAGAGAAGATGGTGGCCCTTGAGACCTGGCTAACCTGTGAAGGCAGAGCTGCCTAAGGAGAGGACAAAGAGCCGCAGACACTTACCTGTTCGCTGGATCGAGACAGACAACACTTGATGACCTCCGTTTCTAGAAGTGTGCGTTTATTAATCTCCACGTGCTCATAGTACCTCGACAGTCGGGTCTGCCCTTGTTTGTTCACCATGAGGAAAAACTTTATCATTTTTGCCCCCTTTGGCCAGTTTCTTTCCAAGTATAATTTAAAAGTTATAGCAAGGGATGCCTGCAGCTACAACCTGGAGAATAAGCAAACAACAGAAAGGCAAGATTACATTTCTCAAGACTTACCCAAAGTCTGTTCTACAGATGAACCAGAATAAAAAAATATTTGACACAAGCAGTACTCATTCTTAAGAACAGAATGAGTTTAAATAAATAAGAACCATGCACAACTTCCATCAGTTACCATAAAACAACTTTGAGCATACACAGCCCTTCTACTCATACTCAGTCAATTTGTCCATCAAGTTTAGCGGGCACCAAGTATGCGCCAAGCGCCAGAGTCATAAGGAAATGAAGATACGATCATTTTTGATTTTCTAGTTTTTATACCATAAAGCAAAGGTGCTAGACTGAGAAGCAAATGGCAGCAGTACAAAAAGTGACTGAGACAGGTCAGTTCCAAGTGTCCAAAGAGGATCCATCACAGGAGAATTAGGAAGGGCATCCCACAGAAGGGATATAGGAGCAGTATCTTGGAGGATGACCTAGAAGAGACTCTGTGGCAGGGAAAACAAATGATGAAAGCTCTGGACAGTTCACTGTGGTTGCAGTTAGGGCACAAGAGGGACTGGAGGGATGGGAAAATGGCTTAGCAGCTTGGAGCACTGGCTGCTCTTCAGAGGTCAGAGGTCAGTCCTCTACAACCACATTAGACAGTTCATAACCATCTGTAACTCCAGCTCCAAGGGATCTGTTCTCATGTGTACATACCCCCAAACAGATACACACATACATATAACTAAAATAATAAAATAATAATTAAAAAAATAATGGCTAGGGGCTGGAGAGATGGCTCAGGGGTTAAGAGCACTGGCTCTCTTCCAGAGGTCCTGAGTTCAATTCCCAACAATCTTTTGGTGGCTCACAACCATCTATAGAAGATCTGATGTCCTCTTTTGGCATAAAGTCAATAGAGCATTCACATACATAAAGTCAATAAATCTTTAAAAAAGAATGGCTCACATGGAATAAAAAGAGCTTTAGCATTCACTTTAAGGAGCTGGGTGTAGTTTGTCCACTGTGTCCTGCACTTAGGAGGCCTACACAATCTGGGCTAAAGAGTGAGAAACTCTGTCTCAAAAACAAAACCGAAGTATGCTTTATTATTGGCTGGAGGATGGCCTAAAGCAAAGCATTTCCTCTTTAGTGGGCGGATAAGTGATAAAGCCAAACTTCTCCAATAGGCCCAACAACAAACTCTGTGCCTGGAAGTAATCGCCTCTCCCAAGTCTTCGGGCAGTGGCCTGCTTCTGCTGTCCTTATTTTAAAGCTCAGCAAACTTAAAGTTCAGGACCGTGAAGATGACCAAAGTCTGCATTCTAGTGATTCAGAGACCAAAGTCACTGCACTATAGGGAGGTCACAGGCTAAAATCACTGCAGTGCAGTGAGTCAGAGACCAAAATCACTGCATTATAGTGGGTCAGAGGCAGACGCTAAGGAACAGTGTCACAGAGAGAGTGTGCTGAGGAACAGTGTCACAGAGAGAGAGTGTGTGCTGAGAGGAACACCATCAAGTACAGACTGCTTTGCTGTAGGTTGGGCAAAGTAGTTAAGTCAAGTTAGACACTAGTAAGAACTTCTTTGTTTGTTTTGTTTTGTTTTGCAAGACAGGGTTTCTGTGTAACATTCCTGGCTGTCCTGGATCTCACTCTGTAGACCAGGCTGGCCTCTAACTCACAGAAATCTGCCTGCCTCTGCCTCTCAAGTGCAGGGATTAAAGGCACGTGCCACCACACCTGGCTAGGAAGAATTTTTGGCCAATTTATTCACTTGAGATTAAAAGAATGTGTTACCTATAATCCTGAATTTTTGGATGGCAAAGCTGGCGAGTTATGGCTTTCCCACATGCCTGCAATATTCCTCCAGTTTGCTTGACCTTCTGAACCCCAGCTGGACAGCTGCTTCTGGCTCATGAAAGTGAGATGAGGTGACTCACAAAGGCAAAGGGTCTGGTCTCCTACAACTGTTTACTCTATGATTGGCTATTATTACCATTTCCTTGTTGGAGCTATAAATAACATTATGGGATGGTATTTGCTTCAATTTTAGTTCCTGTTTCCCCCCCAGTGCCAGGGACTGAACCTAGGGCCCTGCACATGCTAAGCAAGCACTCTGCTCCTGAGCTACAGCCTCAGCCCAGGCACTAAGCATCACTGTATCTTCCCCCACAGTGCACCTCTTACTTCCTAAACCCGAACAGACAGGTGCTTACCTCATAGTAATCTCAAATGTTGGGCTATAAAAGGCTAGGCTAGGTGTAGCAAAGCCTGGGTCGGAGTATTCATTCACTGAACAGAACAGCATGCCATCTAGACCAGCTCACCAAGGGACATGACAGCTGGGCCATGTGGGAGGCCTGTGGCCATTCACTCCCTTTTGCAGGGAGATAAACTTACTGCTGTGTGTGGGACTGTACACATTCTGTGGTGGCTAGTCATATGTTACGTTTATTCTCACCACAAATAATTGCCAGTAGCTAGGGTGTGGCAGGGCATGCCTGTAATCCCAACATTTGGGAGGTAGAGGCAGGAGGATCAGGAGCTCAAAATCATTCTCAGTGAAGTGAGTTCAAGGCCAGCCTAGGACACATGATACCTTTGGTCAAAATGGTGACAATAACAAGAAATTACCATCCTTTCAGCAAAGTTATTTTATTCATATAATAATACATCTTTACTTCTATTTTTAATGCATAATCATGACACATGCTTGTAATCCCATCGCTTCAGAAATTGAGGCAGGAGAATCAGGAGTTCAAGGCCAGTCTGGGCTAAATGAAACCCCACCAAACAACAATAATGACTAGCTTAGCAACAAATAGGATTGATTGTGATTTAATTTTAAGGTAATACAAATAGTTGATTAAGACAGGAAAAGTACTTCCTTGGACATAGCTCAAATGTCTATTGTGACATTTCAAACATATATATCGATGTGCTTGGCTCTTGTTTGCTACTGGCTCTCCTCTCACCATGCTAATCGAGTTCCTTCCTCCACCCAGCCTTCCCTCTGCTTTCGGGACATGCACATTGGAGTGCCCTCTATTGCTCCCTCCTCTTCACTCTCTTTAGACCGATTCTTCCCTTCTCTATCCTCTTTCTACCTTTGTGTGTGTGTGCTCGTGTGCACACACACATCCCTAGATTCTGCACATGAGGAAAAATTTCAAGATTTGTCTATGACTTGTTATTTCTCAGCACTTTTTTTTTTTTAATAATTGTTTAAAGATTACTTTATTTGGCCAGGAATGGTGCTGCACACATTTAATCCCGGGACTTGGGTGGCAGACCTTGGAGTTCTGAGGCCAGCTTGGGTTATAGAACAAGTTTCAAGACAGCCACGGCTACACAGAAAAACCCTGTTTCGGGAAAAAAAAAAAAAAAAAAGACATGGCATATGTATGTGAATGCAATGTGAATGCATATGCACACACACCCACAAAAAAACTAAAAATTTAAATAAATTATAAACATATATTTGTATTTCGATGGCTAGGCAAAAGGACAAACTATTTCAATAGGATACCCATGGCCCATAGTTAAAATCTTGCCTTTAAATGTCCTGGTTGTATTAAGTGGTAAAATGAGAAGGAAAATGATCCCACTGAGATGTTATATCCAGGGATCAAATTGCTTTCCACCTTACAAGATGAGCATTTTCTCTTACTGGCTTTGAGAGTGAGGACGGGAGACAAGGACATTTGAACTGATACTCATCAGGGCACACATGTTCAAAAGAACAGTCTATAGCACCTGCACACTCACAGACAGGCATAGGACTCTGTAGGAGTGCTCAACTGTTACTGCTTTCAATGTACAGTGCCAGGGTAAACTGGAGATGCCAGTGCCTACTCAGGAGACAAGGACATGTTTGAGAAGTGTCCCTGCATGCAGTAGGCACCTATCCCTGGTTAGTCATCGGGGAGGAAGGAGGTCAAATACTTATGAGACTGAGGTAAGATGATAAAGAATACATGTTTAGACAAATGACGGGTGTGGTCAGGGATGAGCTTCCTGTGTTTATCAGTTCTGTGTTCAACAATGCACAAGACTTCAGAGGATGTTCTGACATGGCAATGAAGGTAGGCAATTCCACAAACAAAAGCTTGTGTAAAACAAGGAAGAACAGAGGATGGAAACTCCTCTAGGGAAAACAACACACAAAGGGTGCTAGGATGCCCTAACAGGAAAGGCCTCAAGAGGAAGAGAAACTGAAGAATTTGGTAGTGTGTGCTCAGCTGAAGGCCAGAAGATGACAATGGGTATCCTCCTAAGTGGCTGTCTACCTTAGTATTTATTTATTTATTATTGTTAGTGTGTGGACAAAGGTGTGTATGCCATAGTGCATGTGGAAGTGAACACAACATTCAGAACACCCAATATTCAGTTATTCTTATTAATATTTTACAATTATTTTCTTTTTCTTTTTCTTTTTTGAGACAGGGTTTCTCTGTGTTGCCTGGCTGTCCTGGGACTCACTTTGTAGACCAGGCTGGTTTTGAACTCAGAGATATCCTCCTGCCTCTGCCTCCTGAGTTCTGGGATTAAAGGCATTTGTGTGTCACCATGGCCTGGCCTACTATTCTTATTTGTAGTACTAGGGATCAAACCCAGGGTCTTGTGTATTGCAGGCAAGTTCTCTACCTTCAATTTGCAGCCTCATCCCAGTGTTCTCTTTTCTAGTGCCATGGAACAATCTGGAGAAACCAAACAAGTCATTGATGATAAAGAAGAGGTGGTGGTTTCTAGGAACACAAGTGACTTCTGATGATGGCCACATCCTTTCTGGCTTTCCCTGTGCCTCAAGCAATCCCTCTTTTAACACAAACAAAACCCTTGATCAAAGTATTTCTTTCTATGATACCGAAAAGTTATTTAAGGACTATCACCATGACTTAAAATGCAAATTCCAGGTTATCTATATCAATGGTTCCATGGGTAAAGCGGCCCGCAGCCAAGCGTGACAACCAGAGTTTGATCCATGGGTCACACACAGTGGAAGGATAGAACA